AAGTTAAAGCCACCATGTATAAAGCCACCACACATCATCTTCAAAGAAGATAGGTGGGTACATAGATACATTCATAGATACATAATTATAGACTATAGATAGCATGTGTATATTATATGATAATTATATGATTATGTATTAATGCTTTTATAACTACATTGTCATGAAAGTGTTTCAAGGCTTGAGCTGGACCTCTACAGTGCTGACCGCTTCTTTAACTTCTTCAAGCGGAAGGAGGTCGTAAAACCTCGCAAGAAAGCGTTCCAAAACTAAAGACCTACGAACAAAAAAAGGCGGTGGGGAAGAAGCACCGGCCATTCATAAGATTGAAATGAATTAAACAAATCCAGCGCCTCATGATCTTTTGTGCCTCCTCTTGGGCCACTGCCACATCTTCTGGTGCCCCACACAGAGTCAGCCTTCACAGCATTCACTTGTCCAGGTTTGTTGCCTACTCCAGATGGAATTAGGAAAGGAGTTACCCTGTGGCAGGAAATCTGGCCAGAGCTGGGAACCAAGTTCAGGACGTCCATTGAAGGAGCACCCCGAATCCATGTCGAACATGACCAAGTCAAGTTGGTTATCTCGAACGCAATTCGCGCAAACCCCCAGTGCCTGGCCGAGGCCGTGGTGGCTTCTGGGCAATGCAACTCTGCACGCAACTGGTGGAGTTCTGCAAAGTGTTCCAAGTCCTCTGACAGGTTTCCGCGCTTGCCAGGCGATAGATCCTTGGAGTCAAGAGGCAATAGCAAACAAAACCAAAAGGAGCCCGGTTTTGGACGTCTACAAGTCTACAGTCCACCACCCAGAAACCTGGCAACCTCCTGCCTCCGAGTTGGCTTCGGGCTTCTACGGGCCTGTGGCAAGAGATAGTGTGACCCTAATGGCCTGATGCCAGGAGCCCCTGTCCTTGCTCCTAATGGCTTCATTTTGTTCCCTTTGTGCTTTCCTTTCCTCCAAGGTCATGCTAATGCACGCCGCTTGTCCCTTGATGTTCGTGACACGTCAACTTCAGGCCAGCCGAGGCCAGCGGCGGTAAAACCAAAGCTAGGGTGATTGGTTGCATAAGTGCGTCCCTGCATGTTCCTGGTGCAAAGAATCAACGATGCTTAACCGCAACAGCCAGCTTGATATGATCTATGATATCGATGCCCTGTGTACGCACAGGGCTAGTGCAGCTAGAGACAGCTTTTGCTATAGGCACCTTTGCGTAAAGGAAACTTGCCTACACTTTTATCACTTTCATATTCAATTAGGGGCACCTTCTACTAGGGGCAACTTTGGGCAATCAGGGGGGGTTGAACCGGGGACCGAAGGGTTCTAGTGAAATGTTACTGTGGTTGGCCTTGGGCCTCCCCAGGCTTGCTGAAGCAGAGTAAACTCATAGCGCTAGCTTTCATGATTTCAACAAGCGGGTCCTTTCATTCTTTTAATTTTCGGATATGTCATTCTGTACTTGTTGGGGAGGCGGTTGTTGTGGCTCTAGATCTGTGATGATGCGTCTGTGCACACAATCCTTGAGGAATCTATATAATGTGTGTATTCGCTGCGCGTGGCCTAATTTAAGCTTCAGACTGAGTGATATTGAACATTGGAATGTCAATTTGATAAAGGCGGTTGTGCCACATGTTTGGAGGCTTTGAGCTTAAGGTGTTTACTTGTTTACCACGCTGTCACAACAGTGGTCAGATTCTTCAGATCTGCTGTGGGCAATAAGCAACTGGTGAGTCTCAAATGGGGAATTGGCTTCCAACTGGGTCCTTGGAGGAGTGGAGACTCGCATGTGGTTTTTCAGTTTGTCCTTGTTTAATTCCTACGTTGCCAATTGAAACTAACCCCTTTTTCCAGGTTTCCATCAGCACCGGCCATTGAGCTGTGGAAAGGTGCTTTACAATTTTTAGTGGAGCTCGAGCTGGGCTGGCAGTTGAACAACATAAATTACTTCCCACTTGCACGTGAATGCAGCCTGAAGCCCAAGAAGCTGCCCTCAGCAGGCACGTCCAACGAATTTAGACACTTCAGCACTGATGATGCGCATGAGTAGTGGCCAAATGTAAGATGAAAAGCTGCTGGAAGCGTGGCGAGCGCTTCCCCCGAAGTGGAAATCAAACGTGGAATGCACGCCCAAACTTCAATGTGGCATGGAGCTGGCATCCGCGCAAGCGACTCAAGACACAAACCCCACCAAAAGCCAGTTGAAAGCCAACAAACACAGAAGCAAGGATGCTATTAGGTGGAGGCCATCGCTACTAGGAGCAAGAAGCTACTAGTAGCAAAGTGTCTTCATGCTGCTGGCGCCACAGGGCAAAATAAAGAACGCGACATGCAAAGTCCACGATGCCGCAGAGGTCAAGGAATGTTCAAAAGCTGCAGAGCCACTAAAATTCACAGAAGCTACAAGCCAAAGGAACCCACTCAAACAACTGCCAAACAAAAGAACACCCTCAAATCCACAATCCGTACAAAGACCCTGCGAAAAGGTGTTTGCAAGTGGCCAAGCCACCATGCATCCTCTTCAGAATCCATTTCTTCTCCATCTACATTTCACTATATTTCACTCATGTTCTGCTCTGGCGCCGAGCCACCCGGAGCTTGGTGGCAGGGCAAAGGCGAAGGTTCATCACACTGCCATGCTCTAGGACTTCAGCCTTCCAATCACAGCAGTGTTCATGAAGTCATGGTTGTTCTATTCTTAGGACCCTTCCTTAGACCGGTCATTCCTTCTTTCGTGCATGGAAACTACATCTGGTGCACCTGAATCTGGTCGGAGTTAGCTGTCAAAAACAGCCGGAAATGCTAAGCAATGTGAGGGCCTCCGGTGGCTCTATCTCCACAACTTCTGGAAACTCATCTGCCTCGTTGCAGGGGCACTCACCTGCAACATCTGCAGTGCGGCAAACCAGGGCAAATTGTGTGTGCGCGCGGAACATCACTCAAATAGAGAACACACCTTGGGAATCCCTTTCGATGGTCGCACGCCGCAACTCCTACGCCAACTGAGCATGTCAACAGAGCTTGAATCATTCAATGTCTTGGTAGGTGCTAACATATACAACAGGCTGGATGACACTGTGCTGTTATCGTCCCAACACCATGCAGGTCCTCCGCTTCGACAACAAGCAATTCAGCTCCATCCGCAAAGTTCGAGCCAAAGGCCTCTTCCAAGCTATCTGGGTCCAAGGCCAACCTGTACATCAACACTCGAATCACCATCAGAATGTTCAGTGGCGCTCGAACATGAACAATCAGAGTGCTCACGGCACGAAAGTAACAAAAAGCTACTGGGAACAAGGACGCTACCAGGGGCTCGTGGCCTTACTACTAGGAGCAAGAAGCTAGTAGGAACAAAAAAGGGCATCGCTACTAGGGAATTGGCAGACTGACAGACCGCTCCAAGTGGCAAAGGCGTCCCGGCAATTTCGATGATCAAAACTCCAGGGCGAAGTCTTTGGTCTTGGCCCGGCGTCTTCTCCACAGCTTCCACCAAGTAGCCTCGAATGCACAAAAATGCTTAAAGATGAAGAACAGAAGCACTTGCTGTCGGATCCAAGTGTTGAGCTGGAGTCTTCCAGCGTAGTTTCAAGCCAACTCTTTGAGAGAGGCACTTGTGCTTACTCACTGATGTCATTCTTGCGGGGCTTTGCACCACCTGATTCTTGCCCCAAACCAAGTCACCCAGTTCTGTGGCTTCCATTTGAAGGCCAGCTCCATCGTTTCCCACATGCAGTGAGCAACGTTGCAATGATCGCCAAGGCCTCTCCCCTGGTTTCACCAAGTGAGAAGAGAGAGAGAGAGAGAGAGAACAAAATGTGAAGGAGAGGCAACTTTCCATCTACATCCCTAAAAACTCCCTCGAACTAATATGTGCATGCGCATGCCTCATTGATGCTTTAAAGATTGTCCAACCCACTGTACCTCTAAGTACTGAATCTGATCATCTGATCAGGTCAAACCTGAGCCTCCTGCTATTGGGGTACACGCTGTCGAGCCACTCCGGCACCACAACTTCTGAACCCGCCATGGCAACTAGGGTTGCACGGATTCATCTGCCTCTCTACATCTGCACATCATGCATCTCTCTTCTGCGAGCATGGACAAAGGAGGATCCTTTAGCCGCACTTGGCCGTTGCAGTTGCACACCCTCCAGGACCATTGCAACATGAAACCTTGAGGACCGAGGAGCCTTGGCTGTGAGTCTTTCAGAACAAGGCACCAAATGCTGGGCATGAAGGAAGTCATTCAGTGCCTATGCAAAAAGCACCCCACCCAAAAAGGGGTCATTCAGTCTGGCCCTTCTTGGCCCATGGAGCTATCAAGACCTGCATGGCCATGATTTGGGCATCGCATGGCTGCGTGACGCTGCACCAGACCACTGAACCACGACACGTGCCCTCGTCGGCCTTGAGACGCCGGAGCCAGTGTCTGTCGACCTCGGCGAGGGAAGTAAGTGTGCTCCGAGGTCTCAGGAAGTTTCATGAAAAGAGCTGAAGCTACTAGTAACAAGAAGCTACTAGGAACAAGTGCATCGCTACTAGGAACAAGTGCCTTACTAGTAGTAACAAGAAGCTATTAGTAACAAGAAGCTACTAGGGGCTCCTGGCATCGCTACTAGGGGCTCCTGGCCTTACTACTAGGAGCAAGAAGCTACTAGGTGGAGGCCATCGCTATTAGGTTGGAGGCCACTACTACTAGTAACAAAAAGCTATTACTAGTAATAGCAATGCAACACACAGTGTAACACACAGGCATATGTCGCGCAGCGGCCTTTTCACCTGTTTTCGCCCCATGATGGGACTGATTCATGTCGACTGTGTCAGACATGGGAAGGATGCAAAGCTACGGGTACAGATAGGCGAGACAACGGGCTCATTGAGTCTCCTTTGCCGGTATTGGTGACGTTGATCCAAGTAAAGCTGGCAGGAATAGAAGTGCAGGGTCGGCATAGTAACGTCATGAGTAGGAAGGGAGAAGGCCCTATGGTCTAGAGGGGCAGCGTCTGGCAGCTTTACAAATGATCATATAAAGCGATCATGGGGGGCAAGGTGTTGCAAGTTTAAAACCTGGAAATATAGTAATTCAAGTGATCCCCACCATCGAGGCAATTTGAATACTGATATTTCTGAGTGAAAGTGATTTGTGGCCAAATCATGTGATCTAGCAATCTCTTGTCAATTTGGCTTCCTACTTTCAGAAGACTGGGTCAGTGTAGCTCCAAGGGAAATCCTCTATTGCGCGCCTTCGCTCATGCATGAACCTATAGACACAGGGCGGTCGGCTTGAAGTCGTGCTGCTGATTGACCCCGGAGCAATGGGGGAACAGTGCGAGGTGTGACAGAGACCCGCAAGTAAACTGTGGAAACGTGGATGTGCAAACGAAACAAGCCAAAACTCGAGACACAAGCAAACTCCCCTTACTACTAGGAGCAAGAAGCTACTAGGGGCTCCTGGCATCGCTACTAGGAGCGATCGGACGCTACTAGGGGCTCCTGGCCTTACTACTAGGAACAAGAAGCTACTAATTAGTAATGCGAAGACACTAGTGGTACACGAAGTCCACAAAGTGGGTGCGAGAACAGCGAAAGCAAGAACCGCGATCGCCCTCGACAAACAGCAAGCGCGCGAACGCGCGACGGACCGAGCCAGCTTTTGGCAGCATGAGCCCACCCTGCGGTGGGGGTCAGGTAAAACATGTCTCAAACACAGTGCACAGCGTGCACTTCACACCGGTGGTGCTTTGCCACAGGGACTCATGAGGCGTGAGCGTCAGCCCACAAGCCAGCATGGTCGGCAAGCCAAGCCTGGAGTTCGTCTCTCAGGCAACCACCCATTTCAAAATTCAACCTATCCAGCGGCCCGTGGGGATCTGCGCAGTAGGCGCAGTATCGGAGCCTCATGCGGTTTCGGTCGACCACAGCTTCAGCGCAATGGCACGTGTCGAAGTGCCAGCACTCTCCATGGCGGGACGCCATCACTGGTACCCGGTCGGGGCACACTTCCATGTGGTCATCGATCTTGTTCATCATCTTCCGCAGGAGACGAGCGCCATCGCCCAGCAGCTGGTAGAGCTGGTTGCGCTCCTCCATTCCAAGCTCCATCCCCTTCTGTGCCTCCGTGGCGGCTGCTCGAAACTGAGCACTCCGATCCTGCTCAGCCTTGAGGAGCTCGCGGAGACGCGAAGGCACAATCGCTTCATCCTTCTGGGTCTCGGCGTGGGCAACCACCACAGGCTTTGCCGCCGGTGCAGTCTTGGTCAATCGACCAATCCAAAAAAACATCAGCAGGACCAGGCAAAGGAGTCCTGCCATCACATACAAAAACCAATCAGGCTCAGGGGTGTTCTCATCGGCAGGCGAGCAGGTGTTTTCTGCTCGGGCATGTTGCAGCAGCAGGAGCCATAGTACCCCAACCATGACATTCGAAATGCGACCCTTCTTCACATTCTGCTGGCGGCCAGCGACATGGCTTGAGGCAAGGACATACACAAGAGCGGCTTCGTTGGAAACAAAGTTGACATACTCTGACATGCCACTCTCCGGGATCTCGTGGGGAAGCTCATGCACATGTTCATGTACTTCATGTTCTTCAGGGGTTGGCGCAACATGCATGCCATGCTTCTCTATGTTCTCAAAGCCGGAGGTCGTTTCAGCCAAGGCCTGGGATCTTTCAGCTTTTGACTTCTTCTTCATGGCCTTGTACTCGGGATCCCACGTCAGCTTGAGCCGCTGGTGACGCAAGCGGCTGCTCATCAAGGATCTTGCAGAATCCTTTGTGAGCCCATCGGCGATTTGCCGATCAGAGGACATCCATTTCAGGGTGCCACCCAACTCAAGCAAGCGCTCCTTCATCACACGGATCTCCAAGCTGACCCGCTTATCCACCACTGAAGAGCTTGTAGCCTCGCGGTGGAAGCTGTCGTACAAAGCCTTCGCATCGGTGATCATCACCGGCTTCAAGGTGGAAGTCACACCAAGCAAGTCCTTGAGGGACATAGCAGGCTCCAGCAAATGATGCCAGTAGCGGCATGCGAAATCAACTGCATCGCTTGCCTGTCCACCAGATTGAGCCTCAGCCCCAAGGGACGAGCGAGCAATCCGCGGCGTGCGGAACGAGCGCCAGTCGATGATGTGGTACTCACCCTCCTCATCTGAATGCATCAGGTCCTCATTCACCAACATCATGATGTAGCCTCCTTGCGAGGAACCATCAGCTCGGGTGGAGAAACCAGCATCAAAGAAACAAAGTAGGCGCAGTTTGCTCAGTGGACCCAAATGGTTGTAGGTCAGGCCAATGTCCTTGTTGTCCTTGGCAAACTTGAGCAAGCGGTTGCACTCAGCCAGAGTGCTCACAGTGCCATGGTTTACATGTGCAGCCATCAAGGAGGTGCTGCACTGCAGGTGCGGTGAAGTCTGCACTGCCGGCCACTGTAATGAACCCAGTAGGCCACGCAACTGGGTGACCTCGCGCTCATGCAGGCTGTCGGTCGCTGAGCGCTTCTTGTCATAGTTGATGGGCTTCACCTTCTCCATGTACTTGGTTTGATGAAGCTTGCGGCCACCGCTGTTGGTCTTCTCCAACTCACAGCCACAGTACTCCAGGACAGCTTGCTCTTCCTTCCATTCACGGAAGCTGAAGTTGTTCTTGAGCATCTCAACGACTGCCTGGTAACGAGGGCTGTGTGGACATCCAGTTCCAAGAAGATCATCTACGTGCATGATGATCATTCCAACCATGCGGTGCTCACCGAAGCTATTCACCATTTCATGCACTGGGTCACTGGCGTCATAGTTGGGGTCATCCAGCTCATAGACCAGGAAGGCGCAAGGATCCAATGCATGCTCAACGGCCTCGAGATACCAGCCACGGGGTGCATCGATCTGGCCATAACATGGCTTCAACAGCAGCATACGGGTGTCCTCGTCGGCTCCAAGCAAAGCCAGTGCTTCAGACGGAAGCTTGACCCACAGTTTGCGATCCTGGCTGCGACCCTGGAGGAAGGCCGTGCTGACGTCGGCAGTCCACATGTTCCAGTTCATCGTCGCCGAAAGAGACAGCAGCATGGACCTGGAGAGTCGTGTAGTTGTTGGAGATGAGGTCTCAATGCTACCTGCCAAGGCGTCAGGATCAGCAAAGCCACGCACGATGAGCCGGGCCTTAGCCCTGGGTGAACCGTCAGGGTTCTTGGACCACTTCAGGAGGATGCGGCTCGTCAGAGTGCGTGCTGGGTCCGCTTCACGAACTGATTCAAAGACCCATACGTGGTGGTCGAAGAAGCTCTTGAGCTCTTTTACCTTAGCTTCTTTGAACATGGCACGCTCATGGGGGCCAAGCAGTCGCTCATTGACACCACCCTTCTCCTTCTTGAACTTCTTTTGTCGTGCCAGCTTTTGATCTTTTCCTTGTTGCTTGGCACTCACATGGTGGTGATGAGGTCCAGCGTACATGGCAAGCTCCTTTCTGGTGTCGCCGTTCAGCTGACAGATGGTGGCCCCTGTCCAGGTGCCATTGACCATAGGCGGTGGTGAGTGTTCAAGACCATCATCAGTGAACAGGCGGCTTTTCCCTCCAGGCTGGTGAATGAGAGTCACCCGGATGGGATCGAGCTTCGTTGCATCAACTGGACAATCTTTGGGAAGTTGACTCAGTGGAAGTCGGCCTCTTCGGGGAACACGATGGTGTCGAATGAGGCATCCAGCTCGGATCTCCCAGTAATCGGTCTCCTTGTCAGAGAGCTGCAGGAACCCGTGTTCGTCCATCCTCCACCCCGTAGGCAACATCTTCGTGTCCAGGTCATCGAGGTAGAAGGCTTGTCGGGCAAGATCATCTGTTGCTGGTGGCGTCGGTGCTGAACTGCTGTGCTCTGCATTGTATGGTGCAATTGCTGCATGTGCAGGTCGTGTTCGCCAGGGTGCAAAGCTTAGTGTTTCCTGCCGATTGAGGCGTGTTCGCCTTTGTGCAAATGTTTCTGCCTCATGTTGTGGTTCATAAAGTGCGGCTGTTGCCGGATCAAGCTGGGGTCGTGAT